AATTTGTTATAAAAATTATTTTAGATATAAAAATTTTTCATAATTGGAAAAGATATAAAGAGACCCGTAAGGAGTCTAAGAAAACAATATGCGATGCAAATATTTTAGCTTTTAATAATTTATATAATATAATATATACTACGTAGGGAAAAAGATATATGTATAAGTTAGCCAAATAAAGAGACAATAGTAAGGATTTAGTTCAAGTGAAGTGTATTAAGGATGAAGATCACAAATTATTTTTATTAGAAGAGGATGTTCAACAAGATGAAAGAGATATTTTGCTAAACTTTTTAATGAAGATTATGAAAATGCGTATATATGTGAAAAGTTTGGAGTAGCTCCAGTGGAAGATAAGATTAGAGAAAGTCGTCTTAGATGGTTTGGTCACATAAAACGGCGATCTTCTAATGAATCGATTAGGAAAGTAGATGTATTAGATTTGACTTATGTTAAGAAAGATAGAGGTAGACCTAAAAAGATTTTTAGAAAATGTTAGAAATGACATTTCTTTATTAGATTTAAATGAAAATTTAACTTTTAATAGGACACAATGAAGAAAAATGATTCATGTAGCCGACCCACAGTGGGATAAAGGATTGATGTTGTTGTTGTTGTTGTTTTGTTTTCATCTATGTAAAAATTTTGAAATTTATGTTTTTCATAAATTTCATTTTCATGCACGATGTAGCATCTATTTTGATTTTTAAACCCCATGATGATTTTCCTACATCTACCCATTTTAACATTAAGGTGAATGGGTTCATTATTAGATTTGATTCTACTTCAAGTTCACATGCATGAAATTGGTTGGAGCATATATTTGGTTTATTAGCCCCATGATGATTTTCCTATATCTAGTAATTTTAACATTCTGGTGAATGGGTTCTTTATTAGATTGGATTCCACTTTACATGCATGAAATTAGTTGGTTTCAAAATTTTCAATTTAGTGCTCGATTTGATTGATATTCTTACACATTTAATTTTGTTGTCTGATGATTTAAGCTATTGGTTTTTGTAAAGTGATCCGAGAGGATCTCTAGTACACTACAGAAGATTTTTTCCACTCAAAGAAGAATAAGCCAATCCATGAAGCTATGGACAATCAATCACTATTCATAGGAGCATAAATTTTGATGCTTCAATGAGGGCTTTTAAATTGAAAAAGTCCAGCCCAAAAAGCAAATAAGCTCTGACCCATTAAAAAAAAGTGTTTACAAAATGTAATTTTAATTTTTTGCCTACATTTAAGTTAAACTTATATTCCTAAAAATTAGGCCAATCCCTTAAATTTAGGGACTTTTTTCTTATATAATTTTGATTTTGTAAATTTGTGGAAGTTAGTTCCACAATTGTGCCTTTACGTTAAGGTTGGTAGCTTGATTTTTCCGATAAAGAGCTATTTCTACGTAATCCTACGCATTCTAAATAGGTTTTTATTTAAATTTGATAATCCCTCTCCTACTTCCACAAATAGGGAAATTAGTAGTGTATTTTGCAATTCAGTTAATTTTTTGGATGATATAAATTTTAAAATTCCAATCTTTACTGCACACTTTTTTCCAACCATATTCCTCTTTCTACCGTCTCTTTTTCTGCAAGCTCCTGCAAAATTTAGTCCGGTTCTTGCTACAGTGAACAACCGACGAAGTTTTTCCAGTCACCCGAACTCCTCTAGCACACTACCAGCGATTCCTTATTTTATCTTCTTTCAAGCCGCTGCCTACATAACTGCTGGTGTCTGCTTCCTTCCAGGGAGAAAAAAATTTAACGGTTGTAGTTCTCCCTTCACAGAAAATAGTTCTGGGATTGCCACAATTCCAAGAAAAAACTAGGAAGGAATCAAAGTTAAATCAAAAGGACGAATAAAAGAGGGGTAGAAGAGTTGAATGAAGAAGTAGATGGGAAGTTGTCTTTCAAAACTTTGACATGAGAGTATGAGACTGGTATTTTTTTTTATATTATTTAATATTTTAGTATTAAGCCTCCAAATATTGAGTGCTTCACCACAAAATTGTGTGCACTCTGGTTTGTTTCCTTGGCATCTTTCTCGTACAAAACCTTAGAAGATCCACTTGGTATGAGATCCTAATTCCCTTGGGTAGATGGGTTGGGAAGTCTATACCTCAACCAAAATTAATGTTTAGTTTACTTTACACGCTACAACAACACCCAAGGGCAAAACTTTAGATTAACTATCTTATTCAAGGCAGGTTGTAGATAAAGTGGTTAAATTTTCATTCCTTTCATGATAAATTAATTGTCCTTTCATGATAAAACCTAATAAATCAGTAAAAAATTGAAGATCACCTCAAATTAGTGAATCAATTTAAATTCTCACTGCAATTAAAATTCCAATTATACTAAATTTGACCATTATTTAAAAAAAAAACAAGGAAAGAATCACTGAATAGAAGAAAATTAGGCCTCACTTGGGTTAAAAAATATAACTTCCTCCCTTTTGTTTTTACACTTGTGCTACTTTTAAAGGAATAAGATATGCAACTTGCACTCAGAAGATTAAAGTGTTCATAAATTTTATCTATTGATAATAATCCTCATACAACTCATTTAATGTTTAAAACCCGTCTGTAGGTGCAGTTAGGATGGAATCAATCCTTATTTGATTTTAGCAATTCGAAATTCAATTCTCAGTCATCCGAAGATAAGTATCGAATCTAGAAGGTGGAGCAAATCACATAGAAGTTAGAACAACATTGAATTTGACGGGTTTAAAAATCCGTAAGTGGCACATGCAAAAAGGGAAACCCGTTGTGTCAGTAATAGGTATGTTATAATTCAAGCAGCAAACTGCACATTTGAACCACAATTCCCTATTTCTTGTGAAAGTAAATATTTAAGAGCTCGAAAAACTGTAAACAATAAACTTATGAAACCTTCAAACCCATGAACCATCTAAAACATAAAACCAAAGAACAAGCGAACGCGACTAAAGCTATTCCAAACCACATAAAACGACCAATACTAGGAAATCAAATAAAAAAGTGAATAGATCCCACTCTCATATGCATTTATCAGGCATATTTGAAAATAATTTAAAGTGGGAACGACTAAAATAATCTACAAAATAAGATTAAGAGAGTAAACAGTTTTCAAATTAGCAAAAATTTGATTTACTCTAATTCATTTGTCAGAGGACATCAGGCTTACGCTTTAGTCGAGCGTACACCCGCATTTCATGACTGCTCAATTTCCTAGAACGAACCAACTTTGCATAGGTCTGGTCTTTTATGTTTTCACTCGACTTCTTTTAGCCGACCCCACATAGTGAGATAAAGTTTGATATTATTGTTGCTATACTTGACGCTCTCATTTTCTTATCCGTTTCCTTTTGTCAAAGTAAAGAAAATATGAAATCCACGTATGCTTCATCCTCTTCCCCTCAAATGATGAATACCCCATTATAGAAACATTTTGGGGCAAAGGATTCATTTGTCCATATTTTTGGTTGTTTCATCAATTTTTTGTAAGCCTATTCTCGCATCATTGAGGGTAATATCAGAGAAAGAAATTAGAAGATTATTGGGTCAATACAAGTAAAAATATAGGATTAAATTAGGAAGAATGGAGTAAATGATCATATAAGGGAGATGATAGGACTAGTGCCTATTAAAATAAGAAAACATGTTTTATATTTTAGTGGTTTAGCGAGGTATATTGCAGGGAAAAACATAAAGCCATTAAATGGTAGATGGAATTAATGTGAAGATTATGAATGAAAAAAGATAGGCTGAAGGTAATATGATTAAGTGTTGTATACTTTTTTTAACATATAATAGAAGTTAGCACCTCATGCAGCATTCAGTAGTCTAACAATATGAATGAAAAAGGATGTTTAATTAAGTTAATCCTACATAGTTGGGATAATGATAATGATATTGATGATGAACAAATATTTGGTTTTAGTGTAGATGCTTATATTATAGCCAAATTTGCTTTTGCAAGGATCTTTATAGGATTAGTTGGAGCTCAAATTAATGTTTTACATACTTCATTTTTTAGCCACTCCTAAAATAACTAGTGGATGCCAATACCTTAAAAATTTCTTTGTGGTCTAAATTTTGTATTGCATGCATATCCATGAACCGTTCTTCATTAACCCGTGCTTATGATTTACCTCCCTCTCATGTATTCCTGCCTATTGCTAGTACAGTAATGCTGCATTTCTCCAAAAGAGCTCTAAAACAAATATAAGGCAATCATATCTGAGTGCAAAAATCAATACGGTGCTCCTTAGTTTTTCTAGAATCTCTGGTCAAAATTGGCTGCGTGGTATAACTTATTTGTGAGACATTATTGCCATTATTTCCCGTATCAATATGAGCTGAATATTGTGGAAACTGATTCTCTGTTAGATACACTAAGACTTCATCTGGGACGGCTTTTTTACTGCTTCTTAAAACAGCTTTTTAGTACAAAAATTTTAATTTTTGTACTAGAAAACTACTTTAAGAAGTAGTAAGAAAGCCGTTCCAAACGAAGCCTATATATTTGGCCTGGTCGAAACAAGAGAAGTAAGAAGTTGAAACCAAAATGATAATTTAAATGAATTGAATTGAAATAGATTTTGCTTGGATTGTTTGGCTGAGTAGAAAATAGTTGGAAAAGTTCTTCTATTGTTTGGCTTGAAGGGAATTTTCCCTTTTAATGAACTAAATGTCTTTATTTACTAAACAATAAAGGTAAAGTATACTTCCAATTATTTTCCATTAAAACTTCAATTCAATTCATTTGATATTACCCTTTTCATCTTAGTATCTTTTTCATTCTCTCGTTTTACTCAAACCAGACAGCCTAACTGATTCAGTATACTTTTTTTATTTTGACATTTAAGCCATCAAATCATACACACATCATGTACTCAAATTTTGAACCCAAATCTCTTAGTTAGTAAGCTGTGTAGTATTCTACTTTTGCAAGTGAGAACATAAAACTAATAGAAGCATATATTTAATATGAATTTCTTGATTAATGCAGGTGCTGTGGACCACCTTAAAGCTCAATCAATATATGGAAAGGATATCACCACCACAGCTTACGATAAAGAGCGCAAAGGAAGTAACAGGAAAAGCTTTTAGATCTCAAATATGTAGGAAAGGAAACTCTTCCAGCTTCTTATGGCATTTATTAGACTTCGTTTGAGATGATTTTTTTTGTTGTTTTTTAAAACAGTTTTTTAGTAAAAAGAATTTAAGAAGCAATAAGAAAATCGTCCCAAATGAAGCCTTAGTTGAAATTTAAATCCTGCCTCATTTTTCCTTTTTTTTTTTAAGGTAACCTTCTTATTTTTTGGGAATAACTGGTTAATTAATTCTTTTGAGCTTTTTAGTTTGTAGTTGGACTGTTGTTGGATGATATTCTAAAAGTCAGTGTTTTAAGAAATTTTGAAACTGGCTTTTTTTATTTTTTTTGTGACGAGGAAGTACTGGCCTTAGGCCAGTGAAAATTCCGGTCAACCTAGTATGGAACCCACACCAATTTACACGGGCCAACACTTAAGGCTTTCACTGCTTGCCAAGGGATTCGAACCAGGGACTTAGGCTTTGCCCAGCCGGCTCTTCACCACCCGGACAAGCAGCGGTGGGTCAACTGGCTTATTTCGTTTGGGGATATGATTTTTTTTTGGTCCAGATGGGTGCAGTTCTTGAAGTTTCTTGACTTTTTTATCTTGTCAATAAAACTGTTTGTGTTAGTAGGAATAAGTTTATATTTATGTATTTATTAACCTTTTTAACTAATGTGCTATAATTGTGATTATGTTATAAAAATGTTAGGGAAATTTGTCTATATATGTCAAATAATAGCACAAATTAAAAAGAAATAGCAATTTGTTTTCATGGAGAAATATATTTGAAAGTTTATTTCTGATCAAAATACTTCTACCGTAGTGTTGAAAGTCCGTAGCGACTAATATTGTTTCAAAAAATGTTTAAATTTTATTTGAATCATAATCCTCTTTAACAAATATTTTATAATCCACCACATAGTTTAAATTTTTTTTTTTTTTTTTTTTAGATAATGATAAATACTTAATTCTGTATTGATCAACAATAGAAAAAATAATCCTTCCCATTCGCACCTTATTGTTCTTCATCCTACTTAGAAAAAATAATCGTCAGTAAGGATATGGTTTCCATGTTGTTGATGAAAATAGTAAGGAATATTATTTGAATGTGTTGCTTATATATATTTCCACATAATTTAGGGAATAAGCCATCGAATTTCCACATAATTTTTCTTGTCAACAATCTTAAGGTGAAGGGTCTTCTTAACTTTGATACAAGAAGAAGATGTGCTGTCAAATTCATTCTCATGCTTTCTGGCATTTCTTTCTCTTCAAATAAAGTAAAGAGAGCAAGAAATAGTAAGAAAAAAGACGTTCTTAGCATGAATTCCAATATTCTCCCTTTCAGATATAGAAGACAATAGTTGGAGCACGAAAGGTCTAAGAAGAAAAGTTGAGGCCCAAAAGATGAAGTAGATGATGATGCGAAAAGAGTAATGACACTCGAGAAAAAGATGAGAAGGGGATTCATTGGACTTCAAAAAATTAAACAAAGGGGATTATGATGGATGTTTCTCTTGATTAAAACATTAGATGTTTTTAAGCCACCAACATCAGCTAGCTAAGATAAAAGAGCTTGATTGATAGCCAAAGCTCCCAACCAACAGATATCACAACTGCAATTCTCTTTTATCAATTTTTATCACCATCATTATAGAAAATATAGCAACGGTTTAAATTGTCGTTGTTTCATTCTATTACCGGTGGCTTAAAAACGTCTGCTAAAAAGTTTTGCAAGAAATAACAAATTTTAGCAGTGTATATTTATCTTTCGTTCACGCATAGATAACTATTCATTCTTACTTTTTTATTTTTAACTTTTTTGTTCATCCATTCCATTTTTTCCTCATTTCTAGTGAAGTTTACATCCTCCCTTCATGTGATACCTTCAATAATATGGGTGTCATCTATATTACATCCGGTGTCTGAATTCGTCCGGACACTAATCCAAACGCGCCACGTCACCAAAATACATCGGATTCAGTGTATTTGGATGACATGGTGCGCCTGGATTGGATGTCCGGACGTCCGGTGACCGGACGTAATAATTCGCCCATCTATAGACACTTATGATGTTCTAGATGGATTGGAGCAGCTAGTTTCTTAAAATGGGCAAATTATTGGGTCAGGTAATCGAACCCATCTCCGTATTCGGACGCCAATAGAAAGACGACATCTGGCAGCAATTTTTTTAATTTAATATCTTTGCTTTATGTTTTGTCAGCCCGATCTACTCGACCTAGTAACCCAATTTATTTGAATTCCGGAAATAAAGAATGGAAACGCAGCGTTTTTTCTTTTCAAGTGACATTTTCACTGCTACTCCGGCTCTGGTAAGCGCTCTCGGACTCCTCCAATACCTTCGGTTCTGCAATAGCTTCTTCCCGCCGGCGGTAGACGACGACATTGGAGAAGATCATCATTCAGAAAGAGGTATGGTTGCGCATAACTTGCGCTTTACTTACGCTTTTGTTGCGTTTAAGTTATATGTTAAATTTTAGGGTTTAGTAATAATTTTATACATAGCATTGTTTGTTCAATCTAATGTTCAAATGTTTATTTTCTGAATTTCAACCTTCTTCGTAAATGGATTAAACAAATGATACGAAAGGTTTACGCTTTATGCTAAATTTTAGGGTTTAGTAATAATTGTATACATAGCAGTTTTGTTCAATGTGATGTTCAAATTTTTTTTTTCTGAATTTTAACCTTCTTCGTAATTGGAAGAGACAAATGAAGCAAAATGTTTACGAAATGTATACTTGCGCTTAACATGCGCTTAATTTGCGCTTAGCTTGCGCTATACTTGCGATTTACTTGCGCTTTACTTGCATTTTTATCTGAATTTTTTTTATTTTTTTTTACAGATGAAGATGCCGTATCAAAGGCCAGTAACTTCTAGATGCTATGTTACCACTTTTCAAAAATATTGTGATGCTTTTGTCGAGATTATTGATGATGAACTTGAGCAGACATTAAAGAATCTGAACATTCATCAATTTTTGAAGTTCCCCGCATTACAGCAGTGTATACCACTTCTTTTTAAGGTTCTTAAATTTTGGAGTCCTGCTGATGAAGGCTTCATCTTCCTTGCTCATTTACTGAAATTCGCTTCTGACGAGATTGCCTTGTTGATAGGTAATATTTTGAATAATGAATTATTTATACGTATATATTTTTTTAACTTTAAATGTAATATGTTCAATAATTTTCTGACAGGTATGCCAAATAGAGGCATTGATACCAAATGGAGGACTAATCCTCTAATTGGATCTATAACAACTGAAATTAAAATAGAAATATCAAATTAGACAGATTAACTGATAATGCTACAAAATTAAAGGCCTTTATAATATTTTTATTATTTAATCTTTTCTTTCCACTAAACAACCATAAAACCCCTAGAAGGCTCACATATGTTGCAAGTAATTTAAGTGAGTTCACTTCTATTAATTGGGCTTCATGCATAAGAAACTACATGGTCGGGGAATTCAACACAATTTTTGAGAAGTTTCAAATGCAAAGACCATTGGATTATATCAATGGTTTTTTTCCTCTTCTATTGATACGTTTCCAGTCATACTGGTTATTCTCCATCCATAAAGCTTTTTAATGTTAACTTTTAATATTTTATTTTTGGCATTACATAGATTTGATTTTTGGAACACTTTTATTTGAATAAATCATCTAATCCAGAACTAAGACCGCATTTTCTGAGATGGGAGGGGTATACTGAATTATACTTTACTCAAGAGAATGCTGCAAAATTATTTAAATTTTTAAAGAAAAATGAGGTAATTTTTACGTGTGAATTATGCAAAATTATTTATGGTTGCGCTATGGTTGTGCTTTCTGAAAATAATAAAATTTTTTTATTTTTTGCAGATTTATATTGTCTTGAGAATGTTACAAATGAAGAAGCAGAAAAATACGGGGCTGACATTATTGGTATACAAAACCTGGCCAAGCCCAAAACCCGAGAAAATTCAGTCACCCACAAGGAAAAAAATTCACACCACCCCACCTCCCTCTCCTCAGTCTCCTCATAAACAACCACCTTAAAGTTCACCTCCGCCGCCAACTCAACCTTCTACGCGTCCACCTAGTGAAAAAATTCACACCACTCAACCTTCTGGTGAATAACCACCCATTGAAAGAACTGTAGATTTAGAGGCTATTCAGAAAAAATGTTTTGATGTATTTCAGAAGATGGTGAATAAAATTGAAGAGAATTTGGGAGTTAGATTGGATCGTCTTGAAGATATTATGAAGAAACTTCAAGCAGATCAAGATTCCCTGAAGTACAAATTCATTAAATTTCAAATGAATTGTGATCGTAATCCAGAAAAGTCGCCTATATCTACTTCTTACTCCTACCTCCAATCAGTGAAAACTAGAGCTGTTCATCCTTCAGAACCACCTAAAGAAGATGTTATTCCACAACCTCCCAAAGATGTTCTTCCACAACCACCAATAGAAGATGTTCTTCCACTACATCCTAAAGAAGATATTCTTCCACAACCACCCATACAAGATGTTCCTCCACCTCCACCATTGGCCAAAGAAGATGTGCCTCCACTAACATAGAATTCATCGAAGCACATCATTCAAAAAAGAAAAAGAGAAGATGATAAAAAAGCTGAAATAACATATGTAAAAAAGAAGAGCAAATGGGCTATTTCGGTTGATAATATACAAATTGAGCCTCGACCTGTAATGCAATTTATGAATTATCCAGGGAAGCCTTTCTTAACAGAGCAGCAACAAAATTTTATGAATGAATGTTTCAAGAAATTTGATAAAAAATAAGTTTACTTACACTTAACTTGCGCTTTATTTGAGCTATACTTACGCTTTACTTGCACTATTCGTGCGCTATACTTGTGCTTTACTTACGCTATACTTGCGTTTTACTTGCGCTTTAACATCTTTTTTTTTTTGTTCTTGTAGGGACGACATAATATTTACATTTGGTAATATAGAAATAAAAAGAGCATATATTGACTTTCTGCTCACAAATGATTGATTAGTAGATAACCAGATTGATGATTTTGCTTATTTTTTATTAGAGCATAGTAGGGTAATGCCAGACAAATTTCAACGTTACTTGTACATTTCTCCTTTGTACAGGATAAGTATAAATATTATTTTAATCCTATTTTTACATTTTTTTTCTTATATTACTGAATTATTGCAGGTATACAAGTTATACAAACAGAATTATCAAATTTTTCTCCAACACGTTAATCCTATTTCTGTTAAAGAATGCAAATTTGTTGTTCAACCCATAATTTTCGAGAAGCATTGTGTTCTTCTT